ATCTGTAGTCATGTGACACACCAGGTCTCAAGTCCAATCTTCAGAAATGTGGAGCGGTAGGACTCTTCTCTGGATGCACAGGTCACTGCCTGGATGATAGGGTAGTCTTCTAGAATTCCTAAATCCATAGTTATGTGGCACACCAGGTCCCAAGTCTTCACTTTTCAGAAATGTTGAATGGTAGGGTCCTTCTCTGGGTGTCCAGGTCACTGCCTGGATGATGGGGCAGTCTTCCAGATCTCCTAAATCTATAGTCATGTGACACACCAGGTCCCAGGTCTTCAATCTTCAGAATTGTGGACTAGTAGGACTCTTCTCTGGATGTCAGGTCACTCCCTGGATGATGGGGTAGTCTTCTATAACTCCTAAATCTATAGTCATGTGACACACCAGGTCTCAAGTCTTCAATCTTCAGAAATGTTGAGCGGTAGGACTCTTCTCTGGATGCTAAGTCACTGCCTGGATGATAGGGTAGTCTTCTAGAATTCATAAATCCATAGTTATGTGGCACACCGGGTCCCAAGTCTTCACTTTTCAGAAATGCCGAGTAGTAGAGTCCTTCTCTGGGTGCCCAAGTCACTGTTTGGATGATAGAGAAGTCTTCTAAAACTCCTAAATCCGTAGTCATGTGACACACCAGGTCCCAAGACTTTAATCTTCAGAAATACAGAGTGGTAGTGTCCTTCTCTGGGTGCCATATGACTGGGTATTGTGGACTCTTTACAACAACTCTGTACATTATCCAAAACTTTAAAAAAAAACTCCAGGCAGATATAGAAATACAAATTAATGCAGCTTTGCAATCATTATTACAATGTTTTTGTTTTGTTTTTTTCAAGCAGTGTAAGTACCTGAATTTTATCTGGTATCAGCCTCTTGTAGTCTCTGTACAGCAGGGCCTGAGTGTGAAAGGGAGAAGCAGCATATGGAGCCAATCAATTTATGTAGCAACAGGAAGAAAAAGCAGAGTGAGAGAGAGACACGCTCAATACTGTGCTGATTTTCCTTTCACTGTCGAGTCCCAAACAATCTGGGCTCAGGGGAAGTGGGTTGAATGATGCTGGCCATCAGATTGAGGACATCTTATGAACGAACAAAATGCAGGAGTCTGGCTAAGAACCTCTTGACTTTGCAGCCTTAATCATAACTAAGGATAGGCTGCAAAGCTGAAATGCATTAGTGGTCTTGTTAATAATTTATGCTGCTGCTTTTTAAACAACAAAATCGAGGAGGATCATAGCTAGACTCCAGAAATTTTTCTTTCTTGGACTGACGTTAAAGTCAAGTTGACCAACACATACCAACCCTGCTAAATATAGGCTGGGCATCTGGGCATCAATGACTTCTGGTCAGAAGGGTTAAAGGGAAGCTGTAGGATTTTTAATATTTTTTAGATATACAAGAGACAGAGATCACCTTAAAGTGTGTTTAAACTCAGACAATGAACTTTTCTTACTTGCTCTCATTTGGTCTTTTAAGCTATTGAAATTGTTTTGTAAAATCTTGTTCATTAAGTGCAAAAAAGGCCTACTGCAAGAAATCCAGTGCTGTCCTATGCACTCTGCAGTGTTAACACAAGCAGCATTATTGGCCATGACTCTGTGGATGACAGAACCCCCCCCCCCCCCCGCATGTTATGGGGATAGGGAGAAGGAGGTGTGCTATAGTCCACATTTAGAGTGGGCAGCCTAGGATGACAATACTGTTCCTTTATACTGTAGATAAAGTACAGTGATTGATGTTTGTCCCTCTAGAACAGGAAATGTGTTAATGGCAGAATTATTAGAAAATAAAGGTAAAAAAAAGCCTGAAAAAGGAAATCAAATGCAGGCGCCACATCTAAGGGCTGACAAGCTACAATATATACAGTACAATTTTATTCTAGGGTGTAGATACATTTTAAAGTATACTTTCTTTGCATTATTTATGTGCGTAGGGGCTACTTTTTGATCCTGTTACCTCACCTAAAGCACTGCATAATTTGTTGGCGCTATACAGCATAAATGCTTGTAATAAATAATTAAATGCTGATTAACAGCTAACTTTCTGCAGTATGATTGGTGGCCAGAGACCATGTGATCTAGACTGTCCAGGCTGTGTTCTTTCATAGGCAATGCTTTCATTTTTGTGCAAGCAACAAAGGTGCTTTAAAGCGTATTCCTACTTTTGCAGTCAAATCTGGGACCCCACCCACCATATGCGTTCCCATTTACACAGCATATCCAAAATCATTTCTAAAAATATTACTTATCTCAGTTGTTTCTTTGGAGCAGGTTTATACATAAGCAGTGGTGTCCCTAGGCAGGTGCGGGGGGTGCGTGTCGCTCCGGATGACACCTACCGCACGTGGTGACACCGGACCCACTCCACGAAAAGGTAAGTTGGAAAGCAAGCCGACGATCCCCACAGGATGGATCTGATCTGCGGATTGGGGAGCATAATGGATCGGACTCCCATCCATAATGCTCCCCAATCAACAGATCCAATCCATCCTGCGGGGATCGTCAGCATGCAACCTATACGGGGTGACACCGGACCCGCTCCACGAAAAGGTAAGTTGTAAAGAAAGCTGACGATCCCCGCAGGATGGATCGGATATGCAGATTGGGGAGCATAATGGATCGGAGTCAGATCCATTATGCTCAATCCACAGATCCGATCCATTCTGTGGGGATCGTCGGAGGGGGTGTCACCAAGTGTTATCGCACCGAGTGACACCAACCCTAGGGAAGCCCCTATACATAGGTCTCTATAGGCAATAATAGCTTGAAATGTACAATTAGAGAAGAAATGTAGGGACAGTTTTTTGTATAAGTTTATTAACCGCTTCCCGACCACCCTATAGCATAACTACTGCTACAGGGGGGCAGGGGTACGTACATATACATGATTTTGCATTTCTGGGTAGGGGGCGCACATAGCAGAGCAATACAAAGCAGCATGCTTACATAGTAAAACACACACAGGCCACATAGTAAAACAGCACATAGCACACAGTTAACCCTTTGATTGCCCCAGATGTTGACCCCTTCCTGCCCAGTGTCATTAGTACAGTGTCAGTGCTTTTTTTTTTAGCATTGATCACTGTATTAGTGTCACTGGGGATGTCAGTGGTAGTTAGTCAGTACCCCCCCCCCCAGTGTCAGAATGCCCGCCACAGTCCTGCAGTCCCGCTATAAGTCGCTGATCGCCGCCATTACTAGTATATAACAAAAAATTCCAGTGTATATACCGCCATTTGTAGATGCTAAAACTTTCATGTAAACCAATTAAATTACAGGTATTGAGGGGGGAGGGGTTTAGTAAAGACACGGAGCAGAATACATTTTGGCCTGAATTTGTGACGAAATTTGATTTTTAACATTTTTTTACTGGACATGTTTTATAGCAAAAAGTCAAAAAATATATTTTTTGTTAAAAATTGTCGGTCTTTTTTTTTTTTATAGCGCAAAAAAAAAGGCAATCAAATACCACCGAAAGAAAGCTCTGTTTGTGGGAAGAAAAGGACATAAATTTAATTTGGGTGTAGTGTTGCATGACTGTACAATTGTCAGTTAAAGTAACACAGCGCTGTATCACAAAAAATGGCCTGGTCAGGAAGGGGGGTAAATCCTCTGGAGGGCACCCAAGCCTTGAAATCTTAAACTCTTTGTAAGGGCAGGAGACATTCTCATCTAGTTCACAACTGGTAATTAACATTACACAGCAGGAAAAGCTAGGTAGGATTTTTAAACAAGATATGAGCAAGTAAAAAGGTAAGTAGCAATTTATATACATATTTTTTTAAAGGTATGATATGCGAATGGGAACGTGTAACAATTATAAATGAGGTGTTATCCCAATTTGGCTAAAAAGTGGAAATACACCTTGAGTGCAGAGATTTCTTTTGTACATTGACACAGAAGAGCCTATAATTGTAAGATCCCATTAATACAATGTCAGGTTCAACACTTTAACCCTCTGGGCTTAATTACCAGTGTGAAAGCTTTCCTAGCTATCTTTTTGCGTATTCAAATTTATTTCACTCACTTCACTGAATTTTAGTTCCACACTGGAAAAAGATATTTTATTATAAATACTAATGCATCTTGAACAACTTTTCAGAACTCTTGGCAGTTCTTTTCAAAGGGTTTTGAACTGTTAGCTCTGGTTCATACTTTTGCAGGCCTTGCGGCATTTGCGTGGGCTCGGCAGCCTATTCATTTGAAAAAAAGGTGCATGCATGTGACCACGTGATTTCCCTGCGGTTCCTGCACCTTTGAATGCACTTCAGGCCGAAATGCATGGGAATGCCTTTCAATATGAATGGCAGCCCCACACGCCTCATAAGAGCAGTGCGATTCGGGCTGTGGGTGATTGCAGGTGCAGGAACCAATGCAATTTCCACACTCTCAAAAAGTCCACACAGTGTGAATCAGGGCTAAGTGTACAGTCTTTCTTTGTTGTATCATGTTTATTGTGTTTTCCTAACCTCCCTGGCGGTATGATTATTCAGATTTTTGGTGCTGAAAGCGGTACCATTTTTTTGCATGGAAATATGTATTTTTTTTATTGTAGGCCTGTAATTTTTAGGAATAACTCACTGAAATCTGTCCGAACAAGAGTCTAGTAAACATCCCGGGTATGATAAAATTTGAAACACAAAATCATAAATTATAATTTAATAAATAATCCTAAAAAATAATAATATAATAATAATAAATTTAATTCAATAATATAATCAAACCAAAAACACTGAAATTTGAAATAGAGCGCCAAGTTCGCACATCACTGAGCAAAGTCGTAAAATCGTTTTCAGTGTCTGATGACGAATTTCCCCACGAATCATTATCACTCAATTCTGCAAGTGGTTCTGATTTACTATCGCTGTTCTCTAGCTGGTCTAAAACCGATTTTGACCTAAAGGGATGCTTTTTGGACGCCATGGACGTTTCTCAGTTTCCAGGCAGAAAGAACAGTAAAAATGCAGGCAGGGCACAGGACAAAGCAGTAGGGACAAAATATATGTGAAATGGTTTGATACAGTAATGTTATACTATGAGATTTTAGTAATTTTAGTGAATGTCACTTTTTGTCATTTTTTTATTTCCCGCCGTTCCGTCCCCTGTACGTCCCAACGCTCACAGGGGACAGAACCCAGAAGACAGATGCCGCATCCGCCGGATTACATTGCCGGGGACATTGCAGGAGGGACATCGCAGGAGCGCAGGACAAGGTAAGTGATCGAGGGATCGTGGAGCAGCGCCGCATAGTATTCCTGAGTGTAGCTCGGGGTTACCGCTTGTGGTACTGAAACTTTACCCCGATCTACACTCGGGAATACCGCTAGGGAGGTTAAAAGAAAAGAAGTATTTAATAGATGAACATCAAAAGTTAAAGCTGAAGTTTAATCTGTTTGTATTTTGCCTTGGTTCCTTCTTTCCTAACATCATCAACATTGATGGCTTCATTTAATAAGCAATTATAGACCTGTTAGTTTAACATCTATAGGTGGGAAGATACTGGAGAATTTAATAAAAGACCACATAGATGAGTTCTTGCTGGAAAAAAAATATTTTAAGTAACAGACAACATGGATTCATGAAAGACAGAAGTTCTCAAACAAATCAGATTTCTTTTTATGAGGAGGTGAGCAAAACCTTGGACAGAGGGGTGGTGGTGGACGTGGTATACTTGGACAGAGGGGTGGCGGTGGACGTGGTATACTTGGACAAAGGGTGGCGTGGACGTGGTATACTTGGACAGAGGGGTGGCGGTGGACGTGGTATACTTGGACAGAGGGGTGGTGGTGGACGTGGTATATTTGGACAGAGGGGTGGCAGTGGACGTAGTATACTTGGACAGAGGGGTGGCGGTGGACGTGGTATACTTGGACAGAGGGGTGGCGGTGGACGTGGTATACTTGGACAGAGGGGTGGCGGTGGACGTGGTATACACGTACAGAGGGGTGGAGGTGGACGTGGTATACTTGGATTTTTGCAAAAGTGTTTGACACAGTTCCCCACACATGGCTAATGTGTAAGGTAAAGTCTACAGGCTTGGAAAAATCAGTATGTAAATGTATATAAAACTGGCTAAAAGATCGTATTCAGAGAGTAGTGGTTAATGATTCATACTCTGAATGGTCTAGGGTTGTCAGTGGTGTACCCCAAGGTTCAGTGTTGGGACCCTTACTTTTTAATATATTTATAAACGATATAGGGTATGAGATTAAAAATCCCATTTTATTCTTTGCAGATGACACCAAGCTGTAGAGTGGAATAACGTCCTTACAGGATGTCTCCAATTTACAAGCCGACCTCAATGCACTGTTTAATTGGGCAACTATGTGGCAAATGAGGTTTAATGTTGATAAATGTAAGGTTATGCACTTGGGGGCTAAGAATATGCATGTATCATACATACTAGGGGGGTACAACTGGGGGAATCAATGGTGGAGAAGGATCTGGGAGCTCTGGTAGATCACAAGCTTAATAATGGCATGCAATGCCAAGCTGCAGTTTCTCTAAAGCGAGCAAAATCCTCTCTTGTATTAAAGAGGTATAGACTCCAGAGAGAGAGAGATATCATATTACCCCGGTACAAATCATTAGTAACACCTCATCTGGAATATGCAGTTCAGTTTTGGGCACCAATTCACAAAAAGAACATTGGGAAACTGGAGAAAGTACAGAGAAGGGCAACCAAACTGATAAGAGGCATGGAGGAGCTCAGCTATGAGGAAAGATTAGAGGAACTGAATTTATTCTCTCTTGAGAAGAGGAGATTAAGGGGGGATATGATCAACATGTATAAATACATAAGGGGGATATGATCAACATGTATAAATACATCAGTGGTTCATATAGTGAACTCGGTGTAGAGCTGTTCACCCTGAGGTCATCACAGAGGACAAGGGGGCACTCTTTACGTCTGGAGGAAAAGAAATTTAACCTCCAAACATGGAAAGGTTTCTTCACAGTAAGAGCTGTGAAAGTGTTGAATAAACTCCCTCAAGAGTTGGCTCTGGCCAGCTCAGTGGATTGCTTTAAAAAAAGACCTGGATTCTTTCTTAGATACACAGAATATAACTGGATACTAACATTTATAGGTAAAGTTGATCCAGGGAATATCCGATTGCCTCTCAGAGGATCAGGAAGGAATTTTTCTCTCCTGCAGAAGCAAATTGGATCATGCTTTGCTGGGTTTATTTTTGCCTTCCTCTGGATCAACTGTGGGTATAGGATTATAACTTTTTTTTTTTTAATGGTTGAACTGAATGGACTTTTGTCTTTTTTCAGACAGACTAACTATGTATCTATGCACACAGGACATTTGCTCAGCTCTCCTAGACGCCTGTCCTCCTGGCAGCAGTGTCTTGGCAGAAAAAAATGCTTGACACTTACCTACATACCGCCTAGCGTTAACACGCTTTTAGATGCATTAACGCACCTCAAGCATTTTTCTGCCAAAGTGCCCGCTGCTCCTGGATGCCTTGGCAGTAGGTTTTTTTTTTCTGCCTCTAAACACCTCTAAAAGCCTAAGGGGTTGATTTGCTAAAGGCAAATAGACTGTGCACTTTACAAAGCTCCGGAGCTTAGTAAATGAAGTAAAGCTTCACTTTGCAAAGAATACCCACTCACATGCAAGGAAAAAAAAACATATATTGGATGATGGAAGTCAGAAGAGCTTTTGCTCATTTATTATGCCCTGGAGCAACTGCACTTCCAGAGTGCATCTGCAATTGGCATAGTGCACAGTCTATTTGCCTTTAGTAAATCAAACCCCATGTGCATGAACACATAGGCTAACATGCAGGGGGCGTTAAAAGGCAGAAAAAAAATGTCAGATGCCCCTAGGAGCAGCAGCATCAAAATGTCCAGTGTGCATTTGGCTGGTATCCTGAAGAGCACTGTCTGTTTAACCTCTTCCTAATATTGGGACTTTGCTTAAGGCTGCTATTTGTGGGAGTTCTGTCCTCACCTGTAATTAATTTTATGCTTGGAATTTCCTACTAAATCCCTTTCTCCCTATCCAAATTCGCCAATAAGAAAACTACAAAAACAACACCCCTAGACTGATCATTGAAGGGAAGGGAAGACCTGGGCAGTAATACAGCAGCTTCTATGTCATTTAGCGACAAATTGTATTTTTTTTTTTTTGTAATCCATCCTAAGGATGAGCCACTTCACAGGCAGGTTTGGGCATCCCTCAAGAGTGCTGTTTGAAGGAATTGTGCATTTTTAATGTTACTCCTTAACCCTCTTTAACCTCCCTGGTGGTATGATTATGTCAGGAACCATTTTTTTGCATGGAAATTTGGTGTTATGTATTGTAGGCCTGCAATTCTTAGTAATTACTTACTTAATAAATACTCATAAAAAATAATAATATAATAATAATAAATTTAATTCAATAATATAATCAAACCAAAAACACTGAAATTTGAAATATAGTGCCAAGTTCGCACATCACTGAGCAAAGTCGCAAAATCGTTTTCAGTGTCTGATGATGAATTTCTCCACGAATCATTATCACTCAATTCTGCAAGTAGTTCTGATTTACTATCGCTGTTCTCTAGCCGGTCTAAAACCGATGTTGACCTAAAGGGACATTTTTGGACAATGCACTCGGGACAAAATGTATGTGAAATGCTTTGATACAGGAATGGTTCCGGCGCCCGTACGTCCCGACGTCACAGGGACCGGAACACGGAAGCCAGATGCCGGCATCGGCCGGAGGAGATGGCCGGGGACGCTGCAGGGGATGTATCGCGGGAGCGAAGGACAAGGTAAGCGCTGTAGGGAATCCCTGAGCAACGCCGCATGGTAAGCCCGAGTGTAGCTCGGGTTTACCGCTTTTGGTACTGAAACTTTACCCCAAACTACACTCGGGAATACCGCCAGGGAGGTTAAAAGTGCTGCTCCCCACAAAAAAAACTGTTTGAAAACTGTTTTTTGTATTGGCACATGCTCCCTCTGGCAGTGCCCAGCTCCCCATGCCATCTGTTTAAAGGATAAATTCACCTTTTAGAAAAAAATAATAAATGCACATTTGCAGGTAAAAAAATGTGCATTTATTATTTTTGTCTGCAGAAGTCTGTAAACTGTTGCACCAGTGATCAGCAGATTGCTGGTGCCATGAAGGTCTCCTGCAGATCTGTCAGTATATCTGCTTGTCCATACAGGATATACAGCAAGCAGATATACTGACAGGAAGAATGAATGAACTACCATGGTGCTTCACAGTGCTGTGGTAGTTCACTGAGGACTACAAGCTGACAGCCGCTATGGCTGTCAGGACTTGTAGTTTCTCATTCACAGTTATCTCGGCAGAGTTCCGCACGGCCATGTTTTTTTTAATTTGAGAGCTAGCGAGGGGGAGAAGATCCCCCACTAGCTGTCAAAGCAGGGAGCAGGGGCCGGTCTGATCGTAACATGGTACATATTACTCCCTGAATATGGGTGTAACATGTTACGAAAGGTGAATTTATCCTTTAACAATCCACTTCTTAACAGTTTTAAATATAGGCAAAATTAAAGTGTTACTAAACACACAACAGTAAAAATCAGTCTGTATATGCAGTAAAGCATGCTTGTTATACTCACTGTGGAACCTAAGGGGTTAATCCTCTGCATTGTGTAAAAAAGCCATTTGATCCTGTTTTCCCTGCCCCTCCTCTTGTTCAAATGTCCACAATTTATCTCCTGATAAGAGACTGAACCTGTAGCCATTCTCTGGACATGCTCAATTTAGTGTGTATTGCTAGAGCATTTTTTTTCTTGGGAGAGTGCATGTGATCAGCACAGGGCCAATCAGCACTCTCCAGACAAAAGTCAGGGGTTTTGCATTCTCCTAGAGCAGAAAGAAAACTCCTCCTACAAGCATTAACTTGTGCTCTACTGGGCACTGATAGAAGTCACAAAACTGTGCTAACTGTTGATGAGAAAAGGTATTTAGCAGTTTACATGTAATAAAATAATTTCACTTCCATGGTGTTTGTACTGTGGGAGACCAGATATAGTAAATGCAGAGAGTCCTGGGTTTAGTAACACTTTAATTTGCAGGATTCATCCCACATAGACTTCAGTAAGGTCCAGGAAACATTCACAATTTACAAACCTTTTTTTAGCTGTTCAGCAAACATCTTTCAAACTGAACCCAGGTACATGTGACTCATCGAAAGTGTATACCAGCAATGGTAGAGAAATGATAGTCCTGGGCAGATGGCCTGCT